TTGTTAATATGGTCCTTCTTCTTTCCTTTATTTCTCAGCTAAAACGAAACGTACTGCATCATAATTCACTCAATAGTGTAAAATATCCTGCCAAACAAAACTGCTATAATTTTGTTTTCAAATGGTGAACGTACGGCTTGGAAAAATTCATTGTTTACATGTGTATGATAATCGATGAAAAATTTGTGCCTATTTCTGTCCGATTTTTGCTATCAAATTCTGAATTATTATCAACCTGATATTCAAACATGACAAAAAACCTTTCACTGACCTTGAGGAAGGATTTAAAACAGCAGTGGCACATTATTTGTGCTTCTTAGAAAATATTAGCCTAATTTTGTAATGGACATTCCAACACGAATGACCAATTTGCCCCTGTATGCGTCAGAATTTTACTCTCAAATTCTGAATTATAATGAACCTGACATTCAATCATAGCAAGAATCCTTCCACTGACCTTGAGGAGGGATTTAAAGTAGCAATGAAACATGATTTGTGCTTCTTAGGAAATATTTGTCTAATTTTGTAAAGGACATTCCAAAGCGAATGACCAATTTGTCCCTGTATGCATCAGATTTTGGCCATCAAATTCTGAATAATTATCAACCTTATATTCAATCATAGCAAAAATCCTTCCACTGGCCTTGAGGAAGGATTTAAAGTAGTAATGAAACATTATTTGTGCTTGTTAGAAAATATTTGTTTAATTTTGCAAAGGACATTCTAACGCAAATGACCAAATTTTCCCTGTATGCTTCAGATTTTTGCCATCAAATTCTATGGCGCGCCAAACCCGTCAAAATGCTAAACTTTAAATATTTGTTCTATACTCGCAACTACGCCATTCTAAACTATGCAAAATCCTTCTAAACAAAATTTACTCATTGTAAAAGTTATTTATCCTTGCCTAAACTTCAAATATGCTTTCTAAACTTATTTATATCTCCTGTACTCCGATATTTCTTAATGACAATTAATAAGTTCATTTATGGTTCTAAACTTCACATATATTGTCTAAACTCGAATGTTCAATACAAATCCATCCTCTTTTTGAGCCACACTATGCAAGGCTGAATTTTCGCCTGAAAAGATTGTGTTCTTTAACTAACAGGATGTTATCTAATCTGCATGATGAATAGAACTGAAAGAAATGAGAGAAACACTGTCGGTCTAAGAAATTTCTTTGATAGCCTAGCATCTGTTTTTATTAGCATTAAAAATTCGCAAACAATAGATGAAAGTGGTCTTGTTGACGAGGAAACACAACTCGAGGAGGGAAGAGAAACTTTAGCCTTGATCGCGTCAGAAAATACGGATGGATATTATGCGATTTATCTTCAACAATGCAATGCGCAGATACTTGTGAAATTTAAATCTCTTTGTTAATCATCTTGAAACGCTTCTAATTCTTTTACGTGCCCTATAAACGAGGATGATTTGCAATAATTTGATTGATATACTTTTTCAGACGATCAACTGAAAGGTCTGATTACTGAAATAAGAAGCTTGACACCAAACATAGGCCAAAAAAGACTACAAGAAGAACTCAGATCCAGGGGCGTACACGTTAAACGGCAGCGTGTTCGGGAATTTTTGCAAGAGTTAGACCCTCTAGGAACAGCTCTGCGGTGGAGGTCCGCTATTTTCCGTAGAAAATATTCTGTCTCAGGCCCAAATGCACTCTGGCATATAGTGGTAAAGTGGTTGGAAGTAAAGTGTGGAAAAACAACATTTTCAATTACAATCGTCTTGCTAAGGAGAAGAATGTAAAAACATACTGCTACTAATTTGAATTTCAACAACGTGGCACACTGCATCTACATATGCTTGCTTGGTTAAAAGATATAACCAAAACCCAGCATCATATGATGTGTGCAGATATCCCACATAATCATCCAGACCTTGCTTACCTAGTTCATAAACTGCAGTTATCCAATAAATGTTTACCATGCCTAAATTTGCCGACTACAGAGTCATACTTTGAAGTTAAAAATGGCAGACATATTCATCATTTGAAACACCCAGCACAAGAATTTGCCTTGAAAATCCGTGCATACATTGCTACTATCCTACCAGCACTACATTGTAGGATGGATTACCAAACAACGGACGGCGTAGCAATGCTCGTACGCTATGTTTCGTCTTATGTAACAAAGTCTCATGATTTGCAGAAAGCAGATAACTTGTATTCTTATATAAGATCCAACAGGTTGTCAAGCAGCAATTAGATATCTTTTGAGAAATGAACCAGCTGAACCAGAAATGTGGTTCACTCTCTTTTCTAAAAAGGTTGCATGGACAACAAGCAGAACTAAATGCTATGCAGTTCCCACTAGTAATAACAGTTAATGATGACAAACTCGCCAACCAATTCTGGAAACGAGAATAACAATATGATAACAACTCTATTCTGCAATGGCTTTGTTCAATGGATACAAGCGCAAACCCCCCAAAGAAATACAAATCTGGACATACACTTCTTGGTTCAAAACTTCTCTCTATATTCAATAATGAATACTTCTTTCAGTATATATTTTTGCACCTCCCTCACCAAACATTTTAACAGCTCCTGCCAGCTCACGCTGAGGCTATACCAGACCAATTAAGATGGTTTGCAGCTGCTGTACATCACTTTCCAGATTTATGGAGCAATGAGGAAAGTCTGAAAAAACTCTTCCAAGCACAGGGACATTGTGATGCGTATATTGTCACAATATGACTTAGTTGTCGTTGATGTGATTTCTATGATTCCGACCAAGATTTTCCATCACATTTTGTCAACGCCACAAAGATTGATATTTAGACCTGTTCTAGTTCTATCTGGAGATAATTCCTAACAACAACCATTTGAAAAAGTCAGCAATTCTACCAGGACGGTAGAGAATGCTTTTTCGGAAAGTTTTCTACCATTAAACACTCTCTCAACAGCATCGAATTGGTGACAATCAATACTTGAGATTTCTGAATCATATCCGACACTGGAAGCCAACTCAAGTAATCCTAAATGAAATACAAAACGGACGTGTAATTTGCCCTGAAGAAGGATTGGACAAAAATAAGATTGTTAATCTGTTCTTACAGCATCTTGAAATAACATTTCTTACTTATACCAACCATGGCGCTAAACAATTAAATGAATTGCTTGTCTCTGCGTTTTTCTCTCAAGATGAACCACTAGGTTATGCTCAGCTCGATAGTCAGACAGAAGTTACAATAATATTCAAGAACATGCGTGTTGTGTTATTACACAAAATAGAGATAAGCAGCGGGGTATTGTCAATGGTCAGATTGCTAGAGTTAAAAACAAACAAAATACAACAATATTTCTCGAGCTTCCAACTGGCCAAATTGTATCTATATATCCAGTAACAACATGCGATAAATCAGATAATAGAAAAACAGTCTATCCAGTCAGACTTGGTTATGCGAATACTATGTGCAAAGCACAGGGCCAAACATTGGAGAAGGCACTCCTGTGGTTTGATGTTGATAATGTGCCACCGGGCACAGGTTATGTTGCTTTACCTAGAGTTAGATCACTAGAGCATGTGTATTTTCTAAAACCACTCACACCTGTTCTTTTCAATCCAGTGCCACAGTGAACACACTAAAAGAATTTCAATGAAACATTTGGGTAAATCATCAACAATAAATTGTGCATGTCATCGAAACTCACCAGTGCCTTTGACAACAAGTACGATCGTACTATAGGGACCAGGAACTGCGTAACCGAGTTTAATTTCTGAACTGCATTGTATTTATAACAATGGAGAGGACGATTGCTTGAATTGCTTGTAACTTGCTTCAAAGGTCAAAAGTAAAAATTTTGAGGAGAGAAGTCCGCCTCTAGCCTTCACAGCACCAATATAATTTGCCCCTGATTGATTGCAGGGTGGATTGGACACCCAGCCGCTTGCAGCCACACATAATCGCGACTCTGATAGACCTCGTCCGTCCACTTTGGTGTATAGACATGCAGCCCAGGCCTGTGCGAGGGACTGCTTGTCTGTCACCAAACGCCCCTCCAAGGTCTTATTGGAGAGCTGACTGAACGACTTCTCGAAGAAGGGAAAGCCAGCCAATACGCAGGACAACGGGTCCATTGCAGATAAAATGGCCTCCAAACGACTCCTCCTCATAACAGGTATAAAATACCAATAAGAAAGAACGCCGAGACCACCGTCACTGATTCTAGCATGGAAGAAAGCAACCGGAGCGTCACCTGGCAACTTCAACCACTGACGTATGTTGGCTCTTATGGTGGTATCAAGCCAACGTAACCACCTATCGCCCACTGACGCTAATACCAGCTCATGCAGGTACCAGGTCAAAAGAAATGCTTTCAAGATGTTAATCTGTTCAAGAGGGTTCGCATCAACACTCCATTTCAACGATTTATTTCACTAACAGAATATCGACATCTTACACTTAGCTAAACAACTATCGAACGGTTTTTTATGTTGCTAATTTTTATGTTGTTTTTCTGTTTTCAAGGTGTTGCCTAATCATATATGCGCATTTAAATCCTAATTAAAAACCTACTAGAACAAAGCTAATTTCCTTAAATGTTCCCTATGCTTGTTTAAATAATTGTAATATAAAATAATTGTTTTTCCTAATATATAAATCCTAACGTTCTTCTGAACATTCTCCCCCTCCTTTGACAGTACAATCTGGCAAAGGCGTGTCCTGTTCACTGAATTCCACCGGTGCTAACTTTGTCACGGCTCTGATAATTGTGTCTTGTCCAACCTGCACTTTTGCCACACGGACATGGCCGTCTTTTCCTGGAAGCACCTCTCTTACACGACCCAACGGCCAACGCCCTCGATTCTGGTCAGCCGAAATGGCGAGAACCAAGTCTCCTACTTTTAGATCGCGTTTTGGTTGCCACCATTTCGTTCGGATGTTAATCAACGGTAGCCATTCTTCCATCCACCGCTTCCAACAATGATTGATTAGCTCCTGGACCCTTCTCCAGCGTTTTCGTGGATTGAATTCTAGACTCTCAATGCCTTCAGGAGCAGATTTTCCTCCCGCGTGTCCTGCAGAAAGTGATTCGAGGTGAGCGGCGGAGAGTCCTTCGAATAAGCTGTCTGGTATGTGAGGGACCTAGAGTTCAACGTCGCTTCGACACCAACGAATACAGTTGACAGTTCTTCATCATTTACATCAGCGTCTCTCAAAATTGCGTATATTGCTTTCTTGGCCGCCTTTATCATTATCTCATGGGCTCCTCCAAAATGCGGTGCCAACGGTGGGTTAAAGGTCCACTTAACCCCGTTGTCAATCGTGGTTTCTTGTATCTTACAAGTATTCAACTGGTCCACCAACTCTTTCAATTCCCTAGCAGCTCCTATAAAGTTTGTCCCACGATCACTTACGATTTGAGACATATAACCCCTTCGGCTCGCCATTCTGGTGAAACATCTAAGAAAGCTGTCCGTGTCAAGGCCGTACGCCATCTCTAAATGTACCGCACGAGACAAGAAACAAGTAAACAGGCAAAGCCATCGTTTTTGTTTTCGTTGTCCTCTACCTTGGACGGTAATGAAAGGGCCACCAAAATCGACCGAAACTCTGGAAAACGCCTTCAACGGTAATTGCGACCGAGTTAACGGGAGTGGTGCCATAACTTGACTCGCCGCCTTCGCCTTTCGTCTTCTACATTCACTACATTCCTTCTCCCATGATCGTATCTCTTCCCGAGCTGCCTCAATCCAATAGTGGATACTAAGGTTTGCCAAGATATGGTTAGTACCCAAGACATGTTGCCCAATCTCATGATAATGCTTAATAATCAATCTAGTCACCCAGCTACCTCGCGGTAATATAATCGGGAAACGGACTTCATATGGCAGGAATTCGGCATAGCATAGCCGACCATCGCATCAAAGTACACCGTCTTCATCAAGCTTGGGCATCAACTTGAGCAACTTGCTACGTGCTGTAATCGGCTTACCTTCTTTGATAACGGTATACTCTTCGTAGCTTTGCTGCTGTGCGTCTCGAATTATGGAGAGCTGAGCGTCTTGGACTTCCTCCAATTTTAACGGGCCAAATACTCGGTCATTAACTGTGGTGCGGCAATTGTTCAAAAATCTCAATACCCATGACATAACATGAACAAGCCTATGCCAGCTTGACCACCTCTCTGGATTCAATCGCCCTAAAGGGCTGCTTGAAGAGATCATGGGTTGTAAGAGGCACGTCAGCGTAGACACTTTGCGATTAACATTTCCCTCGTCCAAAATTTTCTTCAACTGCCATTCTGATTCCTTTATCTGTAAAAATTGGGGACCTTGCCACCACAGTTCACTTGAGATTAATTGTGTTGAATTGCTCCCACGAGAGCAGAGATCTGCGGGATTGTCCCTTGATCCGATGTACTGCCATTGCTTCGGACTGGTGTGATTTTGAATTAGACCGACTCTGTTGGCAACGAAAGACAAGAACTCCCGACCACGTCCGCAGATCCAAAGGAGCACATTCATACTATCACACCAAAATCGCGCATCAGAAATGGAAAGGTTCAACGCTCGTGCGATAGCTAATGTCAACCGCAATCCCAAAACCGCCGCCAACAACTCAAGTCGTGGAATACTGACTGGCTTTAATGGTGCCACCCGGGTTTTCGATGCAATCATGTGGGTCCTAATCTCTCCGTTTGGATTCTCGACTCTTAGATAGCTCACCGCTCCATATGCGACTTTCGACGCATCCGCAAAGGTGTGCACTGTTGTTCAACTCAATGCATCGGGGAATTCTCAGAGATTCGAGATCTTTTAAACCGTCCAACCAACTCTTGGCCTGGCGATACACACCATTTCCAATTGGATCGTCCCATCCAATTCCTTGCACCCATAACTCTTGAAGGATAATCTTTGCTGACACGACGAAATGCGAAACAAACCCTAACAGGTCGAATACTTTCGACACTTGGCTTAGTAATGTTCTCTTCGTAAACTTTGGTTCCAGTACCGCTTCTACTCGGAACGAAAACACATCGTCCTCTGCCAACCATAATACGCCCAGTGTTTTGATCGTAGGAATATTTCCTTGGTCTAAATCGACCTTTTCTGCCCGTTTCTCACTGGGAATTCTTTCAAGAACGCGGTGGGAATTTGACACCCATTTTCGAGGATCCATTCCAGCTAAATTCCACAACTTGTTTAATTGCTCGTACAGTTCGATTGCTTCTTCATCGGTTCGAGTCGAGTCCAAAGAATCATCCATGTACGTTGATTTCTCAATGACTTCCACTGCGAGGGGGTAAATTTCTTTGTATTGTCGAGCATTTTCTTGAGTTACATATTGCGCAGGAAAAGGGGCTGACGTATCTCCAAAAACCACTCTCTCGAACTCGTACACTTCTGGACGTCTATCAGTTCCTAGATCCCTCCACAAGAACCTGAAGTACGAACGATCTTCAGTCGGGATCCGGATTTGCAGGTACATTTCACGGATATCGCATACCATGGCTACAGCATACCGACGGAATCGAAGTAATACGTCAAACAGATTACTTTGCAGCTTTGGTTCAGGTAAGATCATGTCGTTTAAAGATACTCCATGATGTTTGGCGCTGGCCTCGAACACTATATGAGTCTTTGTCGTTTCTTTGTCTGGACGGCACACCGGGAAATGAGGTAAGAACCAAACCTGACCAACAGGTGACATTTCTTCGTCTTGGTTCACCTTACGAATGTATGCTTTTTCCTTATAACTTTGAATGATGTCGCTATAACTTGCCCCGAGTGACTCGGTTCTCAATAGCCGTTTCTCTGTATTCTCGAGTCATTTGAGTGCTGTCTCATAATTGTTCGCTAGAACTGGACGGTTTCCTTTCCATGGAACTGCCACTTGGTAACGCTCTCCGACCTTGACTAACGATTCACGCAACTGAGACAACGCCCACTTTTCTTCTTGTGACATCACGCAAGGCTCCTCTTCGGGCATGACAGACTCCAATTCCCAAAATCTCTTTAACGACCGATTAAGCTCTTCAAGTGGCTGAAACTTTGCAAAGAACGTGTAGACCAGGTTCGTTTGAAGTGATTCGCAGCCTAACGATTTCTCTTCTGGGTTTCCAATGCACAACATCCCAATGGACCCAATCTCGCTATCGGTTCACCTGGTTTTCCTTTCACATCACATCTAGCATAGTGTAAATCGACTTGATCCTGCCCAATAAGAATATCCACTAACGGATCTTTTGTTGCCTTCGGAAAATTACACACTTCTAGGTGGGGCCAACGGTTCTGATAACCTCTCCAGTCTACCACCTTGTAGCTTCCGGTTATCTTACGCGGACACGTAAACGGTCGGAACGAAACTTGAACACTACCATCGCTACTCTCAAGAACCAAGTCCACTGGCATACACAGGAAAAAATATTTTTCTCAGCAAGAAAAAAAAACTTGTTTTAAGAAAACAGTTCTTATTATAAGAAAATAAATTTTTGTCAAGATACAAGTTTCTTGAAATAAGAAAATTTTTTTAACTAGAAAAATCACATTTGCTTTGTTACAATTTTTTTCTTGTTTTAAGAATTTTTTTTTCTTGTTTAAAGAAAAAAATTCTTAAGGACTATATTGGTATATATGTAAAAAAAACCGTTTAAAAATACTTTAAAAAATTCAAGGAATTTCATGTTTGAAAAATTATATTTTCACCCTTGCAGTCCAGTGATTAATTACCATATACCATAATTTTACTGCAAGCTTACTCTTTGAACTGCATTTGCTGCCAATGTTTGATACAAATAGTCAACTTATTAAGTTGAACCATAATTGCATTGGCAAGAAAAGTTTGGGGTTAGATTTCTAACCCATTAATTTGCACAACTTGTGCCTTGATGTGTAGAATTGTATGGCATTTGACTGAATAGAAGAATAGAGTTGGGCACATCTGGGGCCGACTGTACAAAATCCTGTAACTAAATTTTGCATAGTTAAATCCTAATTAACTCAAAACTACACAACTCTGCTTGGACAATTCTGTCCTTAACTACAGTTAAAAGTAAACTATCTTTTATACAATTCGCCCCTGAGTGTATTGCAACTTAATAGATTATCAATCACAATGAGCAGGTAAAATTGACTGAAATGATATAAACAGTATAATTCATGATTCACTCATACCACATGTGTAACATCCTTAATACATCAATAAAACATTCTTAAAAGTCTTGTACTTTACATGAACTCAGTACACCATAATAGTCTACAATTTCAAAGGGTTGCAGCCTTTTACATGCTGTGCCATCATATCTTTGATATCATACTTTACAGAAATGTACATGTCCTTGCAATGATCTTTATGTACATGAAAAACATTGTAATCAACAAGGTTCTCATAAGGACATATAACATGACTAGCCCCATTTACACTTTCCTTCACATGATAGGCTTGGTAGTCTTTGCTGAAGGAAGTGGTATCAAACAACATGCACTCAAAATATACAAAGTCACTAATTACCCAGATTTCCTTGATCTTGCCAAAGACAGGTAACATGAGTGTCCCATCCACATCACAAGCAACCACACCATTCTTACAAAATTTTGTGCCATAACACATTACCCAGGTGGCTTTATACAAATGTTCCAGGTGAACACCAGGTGGCATTCCAAAAGTATCTAGCTGTGTTCGAAAGGATTTCCTTGAAGATTCATTGGCAAGTGTAAGGACACCATAGTTCCTTTCAGTTGAAAACAGAGGGTGTGAACTTCCCTTTTCATTTGGATCACCAAAATTTCCACATTCATTTAGTTGGCATCGTTCAGCAAGAGATTTTGGTAGGTTCTTAAAATTCTGTTTACGTGCAATCTCTTTAAAATAATTGTGAGCTGATTCAAACCCAAAACAAGAATGACGAAGTAAAGGGCCAAGTTTCCTGATCATATTGGGAAAATGTACCAGATAGTGTTGTTTACGAGTGATGTTCACATTGGGAAATTTTTCTTTAAATCGGTGCAAGTGTTCAGCAATCAATTCCCTAAGAATGCCAATGGTATCCACACTAATAACAGGTGAAAAAACAATCTGTACAATGGAGATCAGCTCTGTCAAAAGGCAATAAAAACTATCCTCTTTGTCAACCAAACTGCTGAGGATGAAAGGTAATAACCTTAAAAACAATCTTGCTTGAGAGGCATTGTACTTAAGTTTCATCACCCTGAAAAACAGTTTCCTTTAAGGGACCAGGCTTGTCTGAGACCTCACTGTAGCCATACTCAAAATTGGTAATAGACGCATTAACCTGCTGGAGGGTAAACTGCCCAACATCAATGTAGTGGAGTAATATGTGACGTAATTCGTACTGAACTACACCTTCAAGCAATGTGTGCATTATGTCTTGTGGTAGTTGCACAGTAATATCAAAATCCTGTAGGTCACACAAGGAACTCTTGTAGTTAATACCATACGAAATGCTTAGATCATTCTTAACTGTATCATTTGGTGC